TTCCTCAAAAAGTTCCTTGTCTGTCCTGGAACTCACTCTGAATACCAGGTAGGTTGGCCTTGAACTTACAGAGATCCGCAGCCTCTGCCTCCTAAGTGCTGGGATTAAAGGCATGTGCCACCACCACTTGCCTCAAATTATTATCTCTCATAATCATGCTTACTTTTGTACTTTAAGTATTGCAAGTATAGTTACCGTAGTTCTGAATCTGATAAATATGGAGTTTCTGAGAACTCACTTCATGCCTGACTTTAAAGCTCTGACTCAGGAAGGCGAAAGATGAAAAATTGTGGTGATGTGGAAAGAGATAAAGAGCCCTTCCTGCAGAGTCTGGTTGAAGCTTCTCAACAGCTGAATTCCTGGCCAGGGGGCTCAGTGGTTAAGGGGGCACTTGCAGCTCTTCAGAGGAAGATTTCCCAGTATCCACATTGGGGTCTGATGGACACCTCTTCCCAGACACCTACAGTCACATCTGCAGAATCCCACTCCCACACACATGCTCATAATTAAAAAATAAACCCTAAAAAAGGATCCCAGCATGATTACCAACTACTCAAGGCCTTTCTTCTGTCTCAGTTGAAAACCTGCAATTTTCTGGGATTCTTGGCAGAAATTCCATTTGCAGGGAATGGGCATGTGGTAACGCTGTTTCCCTAGTGACACCTGGCTTTGTTTTATGGGATTAAAATCTCATTCAAGACACCTATAGCAGAGAGAGAGAGAGACAGAGAGAGACAGAGAGAGACAGAGAGAGACAGAGAGAGACAGAGAGAGAGAGGGAGAAACAGACAGACAGACAGACAGACAGAGACACAGAAAGACAGACACAGAGAGAGACAGAGACACAGAGAGAGACACAAAAAGAGACAGAGATAGACAGAGACTTCTTATCAACCCTTTGAGATGTGAGTTGAAATCTTTCAAATGGTTTGTGTTTACTGCTAAGACACTTGTATCTGACGCTCTCACCGACACGATTGACACAATCCATGTGTCTTACTCCTTCCTGGAGTAGCTCTCTCTGAATCCTCATGTTTAAAATTCTGTTGCAAAATGTCTCCCAGTAAATCATGACTCTTCTTGTGAGGCCATTTCTGTGATTTTGGATGTGCTTTTATTCGTTTCCAAGTGCATTTCTTTCTGTTTCTGTTTCTTTTCTTTCTTGTTTTTTTTAAATCATGTGCATTGGTGTTTTGCCATGGGTAATCTGGAACTAAAGTTACAGGCAGTTGTGAGTTGCCGTGTAGGTGTTGGAATTGAATCTTGGTCCTCTGGAAGAGTAGTCAGTGCTCTTAACTTCTGGGCCATCTCTCCAGCCACTTCTTCTTCTTGTTTCTAATAAGATCCCAACTCTGCTTCATATTGGTTCATTGTGAACACACTAAAAAAGAACACAGGAAAAAGAAAGAAGGTACAAAAGAAATGTCACATTAAATTATTAGTAACATTAGCCTTCTAATATAAAAATGGAGATTTTTGTTAAGACAAGTAAATAGAAAATGTTCAAGTAAACATTTTGGTTAACACAGTTAATACAGCAAAGATACTTTTTTCACAAACTTGCTTCTTTAATATATAAATTGAAGGAAAAATAAAAGATTGAAGTCGTAGATTAACATTTAGGAGATAGAGTAATTCTGTGTACTGATTGGGCTTCTGTGTTAAACAGACCAACTGAATAAAGATCCACCAGACTACTGGGAAAAGTTAATGCTGATGATGTAGTTACTGCTATTAAAGATATTTTATTAATTTAAAAGTTAACTATAGTATTTTGGTTGTGTTTTTAAGGAATCATATTTTAGAGGTATTTTTTGAAGTATGTATAGATGGAACAATATAATGTCTAGCATCAGTTTCAAAATAACAGAATTGTAAAGTTACAAAAGGGAGAACAGATGAAACTAGAACAGCTTTGTGTTGACAGGTTTCTTGACAATGTGTTTTGGGCACATGGAAGTTCATGATACTGGTGGATGGGAGGATGGCTTGGGTGGGAGCATCCATGTAACTCTCTGATGTTCACTATTGTAATCCCAGTGGTACACACAAACACATGCAGGTCAAACACTCACATGCATAAGACAAAACAAATAAGCGTAGAAAAATATTAAGTGCATTGGTGGTGCATGTCTTTAATCTCAGCACTCAGGAAATAGAGGCAGGTGGATCTCTGTGTGTTCGAGGCCAGCCTGGTCTACAAAGCGAGTTGCAGGGCTGTTACACAGAGACACCCTGTCTCAAAAACAAAAAAAAATTAAATGTGAACAAATCATTTAAGGGTTTAGATCAATTAGCTCAAGTAGCTAGCTAAATGATATAAACAGCAGTGGAAAATAAAAATTGTTTGCTCCTGAAGTGAACCTTGTGTCCTGTGTGTCTGCCTGCCATTGACCCTCCTTTCCAGTCCATGTGCTTGTTGCTCATGGCTATGTTAGCTACAGCCCCCAGCCCCCAAAGAAACCTTTAAGTAATGGAAATTTTCTCTCACACAAAAGCACAGAGGGAAATAATATGAACTCTGTGTGTGTGTGTATGTATATATATATATATGTTAATGTTTGTATGTACATGTATTGAGGTAGAGGTCAGCATCAAATGTCTTTACCTTATTATTAAAGATTTGCTTTTACTATTTTAAAATATTATGTGTAGGTGTGTGTGCCTATATGTGCATATGTGTGTGAAAGTTGAGGTGCCCTGGAGGCCAGAGGCATCAAATCTACTGGAGATGAAGTTACATATGGTTGTGATGCAGGGAACCAAACTTAAGAACTCCAGAAGAACACCCAATGCTCTTAAGTCTTGCTCCATCTCTCAATAGAACAAACACATCCCACAGTGCAGTGAAGATTCTTAACCCAAGAGGTTTGGGAGAGATATTCCAGGAACCCCGGACCTTGAATGTCTGGTGTATTTTGAGGATAACAACCCATATTCTAAAAGTGTGTGCAATATCAAAAGTGCTCAAAAGTCACTACTCTGTGGGAGCTTTATGAAAATAATTGAATAATTTGTATCTTTCCTCATTATTCCTTGCTGATCTTATTTCAAATCCACTCTCCCTTTATGTGGATTTAAGAAAGAACAATGGAATAAATATAATTTGAAATCACAAACTGGAAAGAAAAAACCTGAAATTTTAGTAAGCAAACAAAAAGTAGAATTCAGATAAAAATAGAAATATGGAAAATGCTTAACTTCTACCATAAACAGGAGAGCAATAGCTGAAACACTCATATCTAATAAAGTAGCAAAACTTAGGGAAAGTGTTCTTCCCAGTGTTGTTGAGATGCAGTAAGATCTATGCAGTTGGCTATTGTTATTCTAACTTCCTCAAATGGTGACTTATGACATGTATCAGCACTTTAAAAACATTGCTCCATTTTGTTTGAACTGTATATCTCATTTTAACAATAAAAGACTAGCTAAAACAGCAATGCATCTCACACATTCCAAAGGGAAGGAGAATGGACATGTTAATCCCATTTTCATGGATATGTCCACAGGAAAAAATCCAAAAGGTGAATTGTGCATGATTGCCCCACCACAGATGGAAACAGTAAAAACATTAGAGGAAAACTCAATGTCCAAAATGAGGCTGGCTAATTAACAGGCCGTATTTATGGAAAAAGTATGCAACCATTTGAAATGTGCAGTTATGAAAACTGAGGGGTAAGTATGAAACAACTCGTTACATCACCCACCAGAGGTTTGAAAAAGGGAAGATTTCTGAGGTGCACAGTTCTTGGAGGCTATGGAAGGATCATGCAAAATTTTCCTTATTTAAAAATTTCTGAGCACATGGTTATGCCTCATGAAAGGATAACCGTATTGCCTGGGTGATACACCATGAGGTCTTGACTATGTTTGTACACTTTACGTTTCCAAGGAAACAATCATCACTGACAAAAGCCACCCTGACATGAAGATAATGAGCAGCATAACCACTGAGCATGATGATGTCTGTGAGCAACTATATTATCAGTGTGGCTCCAAGAATCAGATGAAGTGTGAGGGTTTTCTTTCCACGGACTCTGCAGTCATTGTCTGTGTCAACAGTAGCCCCTGACGTCATAAGCCCTTGACTCACTGTCGTCATCTTCTGCCTACTCATGCTTCCCAAACGCATCCACGTGTCTCACCTCTATGTCCTTCTACCAGGAATATCCGATTGGTCAGACACTTATGCACGCACCTCAGCTCAGCTCTAAGGCCACCTTCTCTGAGAAGCCTTACATACATGTTTACATACATGTTTCCCCTTATTGACCTCAGAGCTTCCTGCCAGGCTTCCCATGCCCTGGCTTCCCATGTTCCTTTTGCTTCTAAGTTATGCTGTATCTTCCTGTTAACCTATCTGCTTGAGATTGAGGGTTTTTATAAATCAGAACCGTGCTTAAAAATGAGTCAAGTATAGATTTTGGAGTTAGGTAACCTTAGTTTCAAATTTTAGCTGTTTCACTTAACCCAAAACACGCTACTGAGTCTCTCTGGACTTCTGTTTTATTCACCAGGCCGGTGTTGAGAACTCAGTAAGAGTTGTGCAGACATCCGGGTGTGAGAGCCACTGGAGAAGAATAAAACCAAAGTCTTCCAGCGGTCAGCTCAGTCTCACGCCAAAGAATGTATAGAAGACGCAGAGGACCTCAACCCTGTAAGCCAGTGAGACACCGACTCTTACATCTGGACATTAGCCTCTGCTCTTCCTGTCTCCTTGGAGACATCAGACATCAGAGAAATCACTTGGCACACTACCTGCCCCAACAGTGAGGAAGCCCAGGAGCAGACACAGTGGGCATGAGGGAGTCAGATTCCCTATCTGTCCAGCTCGCCACTCCTTCTTTGGGCTGACAATGAGTCATTGTTGACATCACCTGAAACACTTCTGGGCTTGAAGCTGGTGACCTAACAACATGAGGACATTTTCCTTCTGAGAAGCATTTCCTCCAGTTAAAGGAGATCCAGCTCCTTTCTCACTACCACTGCTTTAACATCTCCTCTGGCCCCTCAAAGTGGTCCCTTATCTCTGATACCCATTGTGATGATGCTTCTCCTTCTTCTGTGTGGTTGAGAAGATCCGGGTCATGTTCCAGGACTCTCTTCCTCCTGTAATGTGCAATAGGTGGACTGAACACCACACAAGGATGAAAATCGTTCAGTCTAGAACCAGACCGGACCAGGTGGGTCTGAGGTCTATCTACTGTAGTAGACTGTGTGATTTTATGACCAAATTCATTAACTCCTGTCTACTTACCCAGGCTGCTGACCCGGCAGAGTCTAATAAAACAAGCCACCTCCTGGATGTCGGGAGAGTCAAACAAGACAACTTGGCAAGGATCCATGAGCCTTGTAAGTGCGTGCCAAAATTAATCATTGCCTCCCTCTTTTCCCCCTTAAGGTGTTGCTGTTTGTTGCACACTGCTCTCAAAAGTCCCATCTGTTGGACACGTGATGTCCAGAATGCAGAAAAGAGTCTCCACCCAGCTGCTGGCCTTCCAAAACAAGCCATTTCTTCTCACTGCTCTGTTTCTGTGCACAGATTACCCCCTTCTTGTGGTCATTTCTCATTGCTGCTCTTAACACATTACCATAAAAGTCACGTTCCCCTCAAACAGTCTACCTTTTTGTAGGTCAGAAGTCTGACATAGGTGATAGAGAGCTAAAATCAAGGTGTCATAAAAATGTGCTCCTCCTAGACTCTCAGAGACAATTCATCCCTTTGCCCTCCCCAGTGAATGGAGTACTCAGAAAGCAGGAACTAAAGGTGCAGTTTCTTTCTGGGATTCTACTGTCCTCCTGTCACTTGTTCGACTGTCTTCCCCCACAAGGCAAGCCCAGGAAACAAGAATTTATTTTTCTCAAGATGAGACAGTCAAAGAAATGAGAACCCATTTCCTCCCAAACAAGCCATAAAACTTAAAGTATAATCCTCCTTCCATCTAGCCTTCTGTCTTAACATTGACCACAAGTAAATACTCTGACACACCTTGTCTGACTCTGGGGCACAAGATCCCCTCCCTATTCTGGAATAGGTCCTGCTTCATTATGGGAGGAAGGAATTCTGCACAGAGGTCAAGTAGAATCTCTAGACATCTGGTTTCCTGTTGAGTGTAGCATCATTACATCATACACCTCATCCAACCACCTTTTCTAGACAGCTGTTCAAACTTCCTGCAATATAAGTGAACAGTTGACAGTTCACCTTATCATCATTGATGCAAGTGTGAACTAGTGCAGCTACTATGGAAATCAGCATAGAAGTTTCTCAAAAAGCTAAAAAAATAGAACTTCATGTGACACAACTATACCACACCCAGAGAACTCCATATCTTACTATAGAGTTCATCCCTGTTCATTGCTGCTCTGGTCACTACAGCCAGGAACTGGAATCAGCCTAGATGTGAATGGATAATGGAAATTGGTATGGACACACCCAATGAAGTGTAACCAGCTGTAAAGAAAAATTTCAAGTAAATGGGTAGAATTGGAAAACACCAGACTAAGGTTACTCTGGCTCAGAAAGACCAATGTATTAGTGTCCTCTAGAAGGACAGAACTGGCAGAATGAATATATATGGGAGATTTATGAGGATGACTTACAGCCTAAGTAATTAAATAATGACTGTCTCCTGATAGAAAGGCCAAGGCTTCTATAGTTATTCCATCTACAAGACTGGATGTGAGGGGAGCAGGCAAAGAACAAAGACTTCTTTCTCCCATGTCCTTTTATGTGGGCTGCCACAAGAAGGTGTGGCCCAGTTTTAGGGTGGACCTCCTGACCTGAAATCATCCAGATTTAGGGTAGGTCTTCCCACCTCAGATGATCCAATCAATAAGAATCCCTCATGGTGTGTCTGGCTGTTTGGGGTTTAGGTGGCTCTGGATGCAGTCAAGTTAACAAGGAAGATTAGCCAATGACAACGAACATCAACAGCTCTCACCATTACACCTATCTGAGCTTCATAGTTTTAGAGTTGAGTATTTAAGTTTGGGTGTGTGCATATAGAGCCAAGAAAGTTACAAAAGAATGAGGAAGGGGAGAATTAGGAGGAGGGTGGAACAGACGCTATAGGAAAGTACAGAGAGAGGATATTGGATGTGGAAAGCTTAAATGGGAAGGTGTGTGTGGGTGTGTGTGTGGGGGGGGTTGAGATTTGGAGGAGGACTAACCAAAACTAAGGATGTATGAAAAACCATATGGGAACCTACTGTGTAACTAATTTTAAAAAAACGGTCAGTTTACTCCTGACTTTTTTTATCTTCAATTTTGATTAAATATATTCCTTATGCTTTTGTTTTGTTAATTCATCTTTTGGTGTTGGGGTATGGAGATGGTCCCTATTGTGAGCAGAAAAGGATCTCCACACCAGCTTCTAGCAAACTCACCTGCCTTAGGGAGTTCACGCAGTGATGGCTGCATCAATCCAACCCCTACTATAATCTATGCACCTTATCAGCTCAGCTTCTGCCTCATTGTGCAGACCCTTGTGGTATGAATATGAATATATCTACCTTCAGAGAAGTCTCATTTTTCTGGCTGTTAAGGAAGAACAGAATGTCAGAGAGGAATCCTCTTCTGTGAGTGATTTCTCTCTATTCTCTGGATTTTTGTTCAGGACATGAAACTCTCCTCCCTTAACCTCTGATCATTTCTAAGTCGATTCTTCAGCCTTCTCAAATAATTGCTGGAAATTACCAGTTAATTAAAAAACTCTTTTGAAAAAGTCAATGAATTCTTGTTTAAATGCATTAACTTTACTTCTATTGTGTATCCAGTAGAACTCCAATAAATAGAGGGATACACGTGGACTACTAACAGGATTCATTTGCCACACCAATGTCATCAACACACTGTATATGCACTGATACTTCCAAAGTGCAGCATGACTGTCTTTGGTGTCACTGGAGGTGATTTCAGATCTCTGAATGTTTGTGTTAGTTACGTTCCTCATTGCTGTCACAATAATATCAGACAAGAAGCAACTTGGAAGGAAGGAGGCAAGTGCTTGTTTTTGCTTGTAGTTCAAGGACACAGTCCACTGTGTCAGGGAATGCATGGGGACAAGGGTATGGGACAGCTGATCACATGGTATCCATAGTCAGGGAGGAGAGGGGGGGGATGAACGCTGATGCTTAGCTCATTCTCTTATCCCCTCCACACCCCAGAGCACCGGATGCTGCTGATTCCATTCAGAAGCTGGTCTTTCCTCGTCAGTTAAGCTTCCCTCATAAACACACCTAGAGACGTATTTTCATGGCAGTTCTAAATCCAGTCCGGCTAACGATGACAATTCCCCATCCAATGCTTTTATGTTTTAGTAATATAATTATGTGTTTATGTTAAGATTCAGCAGAAAAACACTGATTAGCATCTTAAAGTTATGATTTCACAGCTACTGGTGTTCAGGAGGAGGCAAAATGGGCAAGCTCTGTGTAGAAATATACACAACGACATTCGCTTTCTTGGTATAGTAGCTTTTTATTTTTTTAATTTTTTTTATTTTAAATAGCTTGTTTTACATGTCAATCCCAGTTCCCTCTCCCCCGTCCTCCCGCACTCCCCCCCATCCCCCCCATCCTCCCACCCTATTGCCAATTCCTTCTGAATAGGGGATATCTAGAGTCTGTCATTTCATTCAGGGTAGGGTCCAGGCACTTCCCTAAGAGTCCAGGCAGAGAGAGCAACCCTCTTTGTGTTATGGACACACAATGTCTGTTAGTATTTGAGGGATAAACACTGATCCACTGCTCAGGACCCCATAGGTAGCCCAGGCCTCCTCACTGACTCTCACATTCAGGGGGTCTGGATCGGTCCCATGCTGGCCTCCCAGCTGTTGGTCTGGGGTCCAAGAGCTCTCCCCTGTTCGGATCAGCTGTCTCTGCTGGTTTTGCCAGCCCATTCTTTGCCAATTTGCTCTTCGCTCCTCTCTCTCTGTCGCTGGGTTCCTGTTCAGTATTTAACTGTGGGTGTTTGCCTCTGCTTCCATCAGTCACTGGATGAAGGCTCCAGGATGGTTATAGACATCAAGTTCATTATCAGGAGTAGGCATTTGAGGTGGTCTCTCCACTATTTTTCATTTGTGATCCACTAAGTGTGCATGTTTCCCATTAAGAAAAAGACAAATAAGAGGTGGGAGTCTACGATGTCGGGCTGGGATATGGTTGTCTTCTGGGACCGGATTACCACTCTTTACCTTACGCGTCTTCACCTGAAAGAACCAACCCTTCCCTCCTCTCTGGGTGGTGGGGAGAGTGTAAACACAGGAGCAAAGATAGGGAAAGTGTGTGCTTCTGTTAAGGACCTTGAAGCTGACAGGGTGGCACAAAGACACAGGAGGCTTTCAGTTTTCCATGGTGACATGCTGTGGATGGCATACACATTGCTGTATAGGTGATTTTACCAAATGAGATGTAGGATGATATTAAAGCACTTGATCTGTGTGTTAGTTACTATTCTATTGTGAATGGGAAAAAATAAAGAAATAAAAAGGAAAGGACATGACTACTACTAGGTATGGGTGGAGGAGAAAGTTTATCCTAGATGTGTGAGAGAATACCGTCACAAGTAGGAATATCTCAGAGAGTCCAGAGTGGACTTGAGCAGGCTGAGCTGGGCTGTGTGGGGGTTGGGGGGAGAGAAGAGAGAGGGGAGCCAGGTATAGTAGCCAGGAAGCCAAAGGTCCAAAACAGGAAGAGTAACCAGAATGTCTGTATTATATAGGGAAGAGCCTGTGGGGGAAGGGCAGAGAGCTCAGGGTAGAGGGTAGGGTATGCAAGCCAAACCCAGTAAAAGGTAGGTACTGAGGGATGCTGGAAGAATCTGCTGGCCAGGTCCAGCGTTGATGTGTTAAACAGGCAAGCACCTCTGCTATTTGTCTCTGGTTTGAACTTAGCATATGGCTGTGAAGACACACCATGATCAATCAAGGCAACTCTTATGAAAGAAAGCATTTAGTTGTGGGCTCGCTTACGGGTGTAGAGGATTAGTCCATTATCATGGCAGGGAGCATGTTGGCATGCAGCCAGGCATGGTGCTGGAGAAGGAGCTGAGAGTTCTACATCCTGAATCTGGAGGAAGGAGGAAGGAAGGGAGGGAAGAGAGGGAGGGAGGGAGGCAGGGAGGGAGGGAGGGAGGACCTTGAACTTACAGAGATCCACCTGCCTCTGCTTCCCAAGTGCTGGGATTAAAGGCATGCGCCACCACTGCCTGGCCCATTCTTTTCTTCTTCTTCTTCTTCTTCTTCTTCTTCTTCTTCTTCTTCTTCTTCTTCTTCTTCTTCTTCTTCTTCTTCTTCTTCTTCTTCTTCTATGGAATGCTTCAAGAATTTTTGTGTCATCCTTGTGCAGGGGGGGCCATGTTAATCTCTGAATCATTCAATTTTAGTATAAGTGCTACCGAAGCGAACACTCATTTTCTTAATGTAGATTTTAGCTACTATGACATGTTTCTAGAGGTAGCGTTTTGATTTCTGAGGAAGCTAAAGCTGCGTCTTTCCAGAGTCAACCAGGCTCCAGCGGCAGGCAGTGGGAGCCTGACGTGCAATGGCATCTTCCTGATGCTGAAGTGACAGATGACAGCAAGCCAGTTCTGGAGGACTCCCCTGAGAACGATTCTTGATGGCTTTTCTCTGCAACAGACTCTCTGAGTTCTGAACTTCTCACATGAAGGAAAACATTTCCTTTTCAGACATCTAGTGTACTCTCTAGTTCCTGCCATGAAATTCTTACAAATAAATCAACATTCAACATTTTTCTTATGTCTATGATGTGACAGGTATTCTCGCCTCTGTCTAAAAACTCCCTTGCTCTAACCTGAATAATCTCTCCTTTTCCAAAAAATTTGACTCAAACTTTATCACTTCTTCCTTAACACGTTTACCCCATGGTTGGTTTTCTTCATCACCATACATAGGATAATGCTTATACACCTTTTTTCCTCCCTCCCTCCCTCCCTCTCTCTTCCTTCTATTTCATTTATTCTTTTATCACATTTATATTAAATATCTACTGAAAACTGACCCACTGGGGCTACAATAATACACAGGGCTCACTTTTTACCCTTAAGTTGATGATAGATTACTGAAAGGGGCTCAAAATCAATCTAGTTTGGCAAATTTTGTGCTAGGAGTGAGTCACAGCCTACAGTGATACAGGAAATGGGTACTACAAGCTGGCTGTAGAAATGTACAGGGTGTTCCAGTGGGCGTCGTTCCTTGACCGAGCTCATAAATATGAGTATGCTTAGCCTATATAGCCAGCAAGCATGGGAAGGAACTTGTGAGAGAGCGTGGGGCCCTAGGGGACCTGCCAGTGTTTTACGATGGCTGTTCTTAAGTACGGTGTGAGTGCAGGAAGAGGAGAGGGCAACTGAGAGATAGCTTGAAGGATATGTCAGTACTAAAAGCATATGCCATTGAAGAGAAGGCATTGATCTGTCCAGGTGGGATGCAATTGTGGATTAAGGTTTCCTTGAAGGATATGTCAGTACTAAAAGCATATGCCATTGAAGAGAAGGCATTGATCTGTCCAGGTGGGATGCAATTGTGGATTAAGGTTTCCTTGAAGGATATGTCAGTACTAAAAGTATATGCCATTGAAGAGAAGGCATTGATCTGTCCAGGTGGGAGGCAATTGTGGATTAAGGTTTAGAACAAGGTCACACTTTGCAGTAAGGAACTTGCTTCAATGACCCACAGATTAGGAGACAAGATCTAGACAATGACGCTGGCTACTAGAGAATCTATTAGGAATGTTAATGGTGGTAGATTTGATAGGACTCAGTAACCGTCTGAGGCCAGAGGTACTATGGAGTGTGGAGGGAGAATAGAGACCAAGGGTATTCTTACTTTGCAGCCTGGATACCTGGGGTATTAGAAAACAGTAAGCACGTCTGGGAAAGAAGATTCATTGGAGAGCAGCAGGATATTCCTGATGGAAGTGGGAGGAAGGCGAACTCATTTTCAGTTGTGTAGCGTTTGAGATGCAGGTGAGAGACACCAAATGGCAATGTTCATTTATCAACTGTATGCATAGACCTCGATGTTAGAAGACAGTCCCCCAATGACGAAGACCTGCATGTCATATCTGAAGCCTTGAAGCAGAAGAGAGAACATGAAATGAAGGGCACACCAACGAATGTCACATTATTTGACAATGTCACTCAAAGTATCCGTACTTCCTGGGAGCTTAAAGTTACACTTTTGTATATTAAAGTCTTTATATATAATTTTTTATAATAGTATCTTGAATATAAGTGCTCAGCAGGTAGAGGTGAAATGAATCAACAGTAGGTTCATTTGGTCGTTTATTTTAAAGGGAGGGGTGTAAGTTAGAGAGGCTGATTTTCTTCACGATCTCAAGGGAAAACAGGGAATCAGAGATCCTTAGGAAAGACAGACTTCGTGTTATATAATAGAGGCCAATCAGGCAAGGGAGCAAGCATCGAAGCCCGGGTGGCATTTCCAACCTTTTGACCAATCAGAGCACCAATGATTACAGGCTCTGGGGCCACTGTTTGGGGGCGGCCTGGAGTAGCAACATCTCAAATATCCCTACTTCTCACCACCAGTCAGGGCTGGCTCTACGTGCCAAGCATGTTTCAGATCTTCCTTTGCCCTTGTTTAGAGACCTATTAAGAAAGTTTCTTATGTCGCTTAGTGCCTGGTGAAGCAAAACTTCCTTTTCTTTTGCCCTAAAAAGGTCTCTTCCAAGCTTCACTGGGTGTCATGTCTGAAGTACTAGCCACTTCCCTTTGCTCAACTCCCAAGAGCTCCATTACTTCCTGCGCAGCGTGCAAACTGCCTTGCACGGAGCCTCCCACCCCCGCACAGTGGATGTCTGCTCCTGGTCCCCAGTGTTTCTGTGACCTATGGGCCTGCGGGCAGGTATTGCAACCGTCTGGCATTGGCCTTCAGGCTCAGCAAGTAGAGCAGACACAGCTGACCACAGCTTCTCTCAGGGGGCCACAATGGAGGAAGAGTTCTGAGAATCCTGCTAATGACTCTGCAAAATCATGGGTCCCACAGCAATGATTAGTAAACTTTAATGTGTTTTCCTCCATCTGCTACTCTGCAAAGCTATTTGCTCTAGCCAGCATTAATCCAATACGATCTATCTGGGCTTACTATTTACACAATTCCCAGGACACCCTCCCTTCCCTTTGGAGAGCACAATATGTGACAAAAAAAAGTTTCACTTCCTGAACACTTTCTTCAGCCTCCACTTAATAGCCTTATTTGTTTCTTCATACGACGTATCACTCTCCGAAATTGTATTATGTGTTTGCTCAGGTATTTTTTTGCCTGTTCTGAGCAATGGAATATGAGTTCCTTTATCGCATCATATTCACACACGTGCCTTAGCGTCTAAAACCTATCATACTTAGAGCTTGCACACCATGCTAATTTTTAAAAGGTTTTCTCAATATATGTTTTTATTTAAATTAGAAACATGAATTCTTCACATGTCAATTCCAGCTCCCTCTCCCACCCATCCTCCCTGTCTTTCCACCAGGCCCCCAGCCCCCCCATCCAATCCCCACATCATTCCTCAGGGAGGGTGAGGCCCTCCTTGGAGGGGATCTCTAAAGTCTGTCAATTCATCCAGGGAAGGACCTAGGCCCTTCCCCATGTGTCCAGGCTGAGAGAGCATCCCTCTATTTGGAATGGGCTCCCAAAGATCATTCATAAGTCTTGGTAAACACTGATCTACTACCCAAGGCCCCAGTGATTTCTGTGGCCTCCTCCCTGACACTACATTTATGGATTCTGGATCAGTCTCCTGTTGGCCTCTCAGCCATCAGTCTGGGATTCAAGAGCTCCCCTTTATCCGGTCAGCTGTCTTTGTGGGTTTCATCATCATGGTCTGACCCCTTTGCTCATCACTCCTCCATCTCTGTCACTAGGTTCCAGGAGTTCAGTGTTTAGCTGTACACCATGGTAATTTTAAATGAGTGAATCTTGCCCTCCATTTTCTCCAGTTCTTGCCTTAGATTAAATCTGCCTTTGGTCCAGGACTGTCTCTTGAAGCTTTCTCAAGAAAGAGAAGGAAGACCTGGTGTCCCAGAACTCTAGATATTTTGGGCCCAGAGAGATGGGCAAGCATGTTGTTGTCTCTCTGCCATCATTAGCAGATTATGACTTGTCTGATGTTTTTAAAATGCACAACCAACCCAAGGAAACAAGGCTCTGGTCTTGTGAAGTTGACACTTGCCTGTACCCGTCATCGTATCATTTAGCTACCAGCTTCCTGGTCTCCCCTTTATTTATCAGACATTTGGCACATTGAACCAATTCTTCCTGTTTGTCCTAAGCCCCACAGGTCCTCGTCCATCTGAATGATCAACACGGAAACTTCCAGGCCCCTTGACTTTCTCACCTTTGGGGAATTTCCACTTTCGTTCCTTTCTTGGCATTCACTCCCAGGGCATTGTGAACTGCCCATCACCATGCTTGTGGGTCATTCTTTTTTTTTTTTTTTTTTGTTTTCGAGACAGGGTTTCCTTGTGTAGCCATGGCTGTCCTGGAACTCACTTTGTAGACCAAACTGGCCTTGAACTCACAGAGACCCATCTGTTTCTGCCTCCCGAGTTCTGGGGTTAAAGGCATGCGCCACCACTGCCCAGCTCACCATCATTCTTGACCCTCTCACCTCTATAGCAGGCAAATGTAAGCATGTTGTCCTCTGAAATGAACGCTGAGAGTCTTATGGCATGCTCCCCCTACATTTCCTTTTCCCCCATTAGCACCATTACCAATGAATTTCAACCACCTAGGGACCTGTTGTTCTTTGACCTACCCACCTACCCACCTCCTCTTTGGAAGTCTTCACTTCTTTCCAGCCACCTACTTGGATCATTCTTCTGTCAATATTCCTCATGACCTGGTTTCCTCTGCCCTCTAACTGCACAGTAGGCAGAGGTTTAATGTCCAGGGACTACCCTCTTGGATTTTGTTAAGGAGTCTCTGAGCACCTCAGGAAAACATGGCAGCTCAGCATCATGTACACTGGTGATAATCAAACTTCCTGGCCATTGTGATTGCTTTAGCAACCTTTCCACAGTTCTCTAGCTGATGGGCTCTTCCGTCTCCACAGAAAACACTTAAAAGCATCTCCTCTTTAATGTTCTACTGCATCAAATCTTCCTTCAGTCAGAGGGGAAATTGCATGTAATAGCAAAAGTTTCCACCTGTCTGTATTAAATCTGATGGATTTCCTCCATTTCCTTTGTCTCATCCAATGGAACCAGAAAGTTACTATTCTCCAAGGCAAGTCTACTCTTTGGCCTTGTGTCCTATATAAGCTCCCTAAAGTATTCAACATCATCAATCACTCAGTAAACACTTTGGGGTGCTGGGCATATTCGAGATTACTCAGCCTGTAATGCTTTTGTTCCCACTTGCTCAAATT